GCATTGTCATCTTCAATGCTCATTTCCATGATTTTAAGACTCAGTAATTCCTTGTCAGGATTATTATCACCGTACAACTGAACAGACTGCGACAGTGAGGTGCTAAGACAGCTCAACTCATCTGCTGTCTCAGCCTTTTCAGTGTCACTGTCATCTTCAATGATGTTCACAGAAGTTTTGTGGTCTCTCAAGTTGTCTGAAATCCCTGCATTATTTCCATCCCAAATTGAAGGTTCAAGGTTTGTTTCATCATTTACCTGTTGAATCATAACCCATGCTGTATACTCTGATTCATAGACAGGCATGAAAATTCACCTTGTCATAACATCTCATTTTCATGCTTTGTGCAGTCAACATACCCAAAGCATTTTGGTATTGCTGACCTTCCTGTTGAATTGTTACGTCCTGTCCATTTCTAAGTCCATTTAGTTATGAAGTCATGGCCTTTTCTTTTTTTTTCCGCTGTGGTATGGTGCTTTTAATTCTATTTTTTAATTTTAAAGAAAAGAAAAACGATGGTGTAAAATTTCAAAACAAGATCCTTTGGCTTAACTGAGTTTTCCTCTGATGCGCAGCCTATTTTCAGGCCATGCAGCAGGTGGCGCGTTTTTTCCTCTTTCAAAGGATGTTTATTTTGTTTTACAAGTCGCTGGAACAGTCGTTCAAAAACCCTGCTGGAAAATAAACAAAGTTTCAAAATTTCGTTTGTTATATCTTCAGGGAAGCTCAAATACAATAGTTCTTCTTCATGGGAGTAGATTTTATTCTCTGAAGGAAGCTGCACAGAATACTGACGTATTGTTCTTTGTGAGGAATGCCACGGAGTGCCGTCCTTAATTTCATCCCATGTCAAGTCATGTCCTTGTAAAGACAAAGGGGTTATTTTTTCTTTAGTCCCATATGTCTTATAATTAGATGCCTGCTTTGTATTCACTTCTGAATCTGTCAATTTCTTAATCTCAGATGTTCCCAAGTCAGAATTAAAACTACTTAATTCAGTCTGGGTTTCAGCCTCTATCTATGGATCTGTAAAATTCTTTCTTTTTTGGCAGGTGTATAATATCGATAGCGTGACAGGAAGGATCTTGCTTCTGTTTTTAAAGTGCATGGAGTGAATGAGAATTGTTTGTTAGAGAAGTCAGCATGTTTTTCCAAATGATCCCCACTGGGTGCTTTGGACATGACTACCTGAAACCGGGAGGCGGGGGCGCAATCGGGGGATGTGTTCCTGGGCCTCCTGCCATATAGCATTCCAGGCCCCAGCTTTTGGGGTCAGAGGTTCCACAGTCCATGCTGGGAAGAGAGGAACTGCAGTCCTTTGCAGCGCCATTCATGAGGACCTTGTCAGATTTACCTCGACTTAGCTGTGTCTCTGAAGAAGGAGCAGTGCCTTTGCAAAGGATGGAAATCCATTCACTTCTATCAACATGTCCTGATTCTGTGGATCCCCCGAAGGCTTTCAGAGAGTGTTAAAAAATGACTTGAAGTTATTCTTAGAATTGGCCTGGATTGAAGTTTTACTTAATTTAAACTCTTTTTCACATCGTGCTAATTCCTTTTTGAGCTTTTCTCTCCATCGTTGGTCTGTATATTCGATGCTGGCACTCATGCTTACTGGGATTGAGCAGTCTATCACAGCTTTGGTTGAAAAGAGTTTATTATAGTGAACAACCATGTGATTCTTGAGCAGTGGAGGGTGCTTAGTCTGAGAGGACTTCGTGCAGAAAGCGTGACCTTCAGTGCTCAAGTGTCCCTCATTGGGGGGGGGGAGAAGATGGAAATTAGATGAAATAAAAGCAAATTGTGATGTGCTGTGTACATGTACCAAGTCCCTGTGAGGAATGTGGCTGCTACATGCTACAAGCATGTACAACAAATATATAGGACAAGGGCGTAAGAGATGGAGCAAGTGAGATGGAGAGGAGGGGAAGGGAAAAGAATTCTGCTATGTATATGTACCAGCTCGCCACGATGAACACAACCGTGTACTAAAGCATGGACCAAAAAATTGAAAAGAAGTAAGAATAAATGTGACAATGAAAGCGTTGAAGTTAACCGATGACTTTTCAGTTCTGGAAATCCTGAGAATTTTTAATAAAGACTTGCTTAGCTCCAGAAAGACTTTGACGGGCTGCATTCTTATCTCTGTAACCATTCTGCTCAATAAATGAAAGCCATAAATAAGCATAAGCCTCTCACTTTGGTTGAGCCTCCGCATCAGTTACTCTTTGACCCAAAGAACTAAGAATAGGAGCACATATCTAAGGAGAGCCTCATACTGTACTTCCCCTCCAATATCACACACTATAAAACGACCCCAAATGTTTCTATCAGCCTCCTCGAGGGAAAGCACAACATAAGTTGATTTTCAAGTTCGTCTAGAAAGTAAACAGACTCTGCTTTCATTGTGTAGCAGACCCTCAAGATAGTCCTAATGGAGACAAAGAAAGAAAGAAGTAAAAAAATATATATATGTATATAGAAGGATAGCTGGGATAATTGTACTGCTAGTGTCTGATGGTCTGTTGAAAGGAACAGTTAATGCTTTTCCTTTTTTGGCCAGTTTTGCATGCTTTTATCTGGCAATCTGAACAATTAATTTGAAGACAACAATATGTAATACAACAACCATTGCTGCATTGCTACCATCTTGTCTAGTGAAACTCTGTATCATTTCTAATTTGTCTTTCTTTTTTTAATTCTCTTTAATTGTTTGACCAATCTTGCATTCTTACATTTGGTAGTCTGAGCAACTTCGTTGAAAATAACAGTATGTAATATAACAACCACTGGTAATTCCTATCATTTTGTTTTGAAACCCTGCATAATTTTTTAGTTTTTGCTTTGTTTTGTTTTGTCCATGTTGTTATTTTATTAGTTTTTTTTTTTAAATAAAAAAGAAGGTAGTTCTCATACTCAGTGCTTCCCAACTCTCTTCTCCTGTCTCAGAAAAGATGAATCATTTGAAGGGAAGAATTTTAACTGTCTTGACATTCTTCTGGGTTGTGGCTTTTGTGCATGAAAGCTGTTCAGCAAATGTGGCAAGGAGTACAGAGCAATACAAAGCATACAGGGTCTGAAATCAAATTAAACAGACCTGGTTTGAAGTTGGAGGTCTGCTACTTCCTGATTCATGCCTCGGCCCACTGACCTTGGGCTAGGCTTGCCTGATTATATAGCAAATGAAATGTCATTACACCCAGTTAAATTTAGGAGACATACTTATGCAAAAAAAAATTAATTCTTTAAGATAAAATTTTACCTGGCATCCTGTGTTTTCACCTGGTGATCTGACTTTGAACAAATTGTCTGTGATTCAGCCTGTAGTTTGGGTATTTTGCCTGGAGACCTAGCATTCCCTATTCACCCACGCCAGGCATGAGGAGAAACCCTTGCTTATTCTGGTTCTCCAAAGGAGGGGGCCAGGCTATTGACACTTAGTGCCCTGAAATCAGAGACCCTGATCAAGCTCCTTAGGCTGGTACTTTACAATGAAGAAAAATCTCATCCAAAACACTAATGGCACCTTGTTTCACAATCCTGTACCACAGACCTGCGGTTTTCTTGAGTTGGGTATTTTTAACTGCATGAAAATGGTTTTCTTCCTGCTTAATTTGACTATGTATGGTCCTATTCCGTAAGTGAAATAAAAATGATAAAAGTAGGAGTATCACATTACAGAATGAGTAGAAATCATCCCAAATCTGTTGCCATCACTGTAATCAAAGGCAATAATTTCCCACAAATCAAACGCCATGATTTTCAGAGAGGCTTCCTCTTTAGTTCAGAACTTTGTTCAGACAGGACAGGGACAAATGCATGTTTTTTTCTCTCATGTTATTTCTCAATATAAATGTATTATAGAAACAGACACACGCACACACACACATACACACATGCATACACTAAACAACACGAATGGGATAGCATTTCACATATAGGTCAAACATGGTCACACAATCACTGAAAGGAAATATTTCTCATTATTGATTTGGAAAAAATGTGCTTCACAAGTTCCTGGTTGAAGGCCTTCACCTCAGCTGTCAGTTTGTCAATAACAAACACCATTTAGCGGATACAGCCATCTATAGAATGTCTTGGAAATGGCCTATGGCCATCAACAAATGAATGGATAAAGAAAATGGTATTTTATACACAGTAGAGTACTACTCTGTCATAAGGATAAGTTTGAGGCATTTGTAGGAAAATAGATGTACTTTGAAATCATAATGTTAGGTGAAGCAATTCAGACTAATAGTTTAAATATATGATGGTTTCTTTTTTTGTTATTGTTTTTATTTTTGGAACCAGGAATCAAACTCATGACCTCAGGCTTGCCAGGCAAGTGCTTATGCCACTGAGCTATATCCCCAGCCTCAAGGATTTTTGTTTTACTTTGTTTTTGTTTTTGCTTTTTGATGGTTTCTCTTATATAAGAAACCAAAGACACAGAGAGCAAAATGAAAAATAGATACAGTGGTATCTCGGTTCATGAACTTGATTCTTTCCATGATTCTGGTTGCAAACTGAGTTGCATGAGAACTGAATCAAATCGAATGGTTAGGTTCAATGTTAACCTTATGGGGAAATTTGATTCAGTTCTTGTCCAGTTCAGTTTGTGACCAGAATCATGGAGAAAACTGAGTTTGTAAACCAAGGTACCACTGTGATAGAAAATAGAGAAATAGATCTTTTGCAAAATGGAGGGAAAACAAGAGAGGTAGGGAAAGGGCAGGGAGGTGTGGGAAAGTGGATATGAAAATAATTAACATGTGTTATGTACACATACCAATTCCAAGGAATGTATTCATGATACACTACAAACATATACTAATGAAAAATAAAAACAGAAAATGGCTTGATATAAATTTTCATTTCAGCCTATGGTCGGAAAGAGTCTTTCACTCAGACTTGCAAGTAGATGACCTGATTTCCATGTCTGGTGAATTCTGGTACCCCCTTAGCCAATTAGATCCAACTGCTTAGCACTTTTGACTCATTATTATGCTTGACAGCATCATTTGGCCCTGAGTTTCCTCAGTACCCACTGTGATGCACTTTCCAACACGATAGGGAGAGTAAAGCTAGAAATTCCATTTCTTGGGCTACCTTGCAGCTAGAACTCTGGATGTCAATTCCATTTGCCAGCAAGGTACACTTGTACAAATATGAAAAGGGGAAGGAAGGCAAAGACCATATTCTCACTGCTGCTGCTCATACTGTTGCTTGAATGTCACTAGTCAGCTGTGAACTTTGTGAAGGTGACAGGTAGTAGAGGTGGCAGCAGTACTGGCAGAGGTTTTGAGGTTGCATCATAGCTTGGATGATATGCTTTCTGACCCTCAATATTACAGCCTTTTATAAGTACTGATTCCTAACCGATACATTTCCCTCTGTGCTGTAAAATCCCTTCCCTTATATCCTTTAAAAGAGTAAGATATGAAATCTACCTCCTCTAAGTCTGGAAGTATAGTCCCAAGTGAACTCTTCTATGCACTAAATGCGTAGGGCTCCTATTCCATTTCAGAAATTAATGCAAAATTAGAACTATGTTTCCTCCATCATGCGTTTCCATACAAAACTATTTTAACTTATTTACCTTCAAATAAAACCTATTCTAGAGGAAGACATGCTGTGTTTATTATTTATCACACATGAGTGGTTCCCAAAGCAGGATTTGAATCAGAAAATGCAGAGACTATTAACAACTGCAGGTTCTCCAGCTCTATGCCAGACTTTTGGAATTAGAATCTTCGAAGATGCATGGAATCTGAATTGGCCAATGCTCTCCCCGGGGAGAGGGTTGTTGTTGTTGTGGCTGTTGTTACTCAGGATTGAACTCAGAACCTTTGCACTAACCTACACTCTGGCCTTTTTCATTTCTAAGTTTGAGACAGGGTCTCATTAAGTCACCAATTGCCCAGGAGAAGTTTACATTTTTGATCCTCCTCCCTCAGCTCCCAGAGTGCTTGGATTATGGTTGTGCACCACCACACCTGGTTTAAAAGCTCCCCAGCTGATTCTGATGTAAAGCCAGGTGTGAAAATGATTTGTTTGAATCATCAGGAAAACATGAACCTGAACTATATTTCCTCATTTTCCTTGAAGAAGAGATGTTTTCAGTAAATGGGTTGTCATTTGATGTTTTGGTTTTATTTTATAGAGGGTAAACAGTGAATATAATAAATCAAAGAATTCTGTATCTTTTGTAAAAATTAAAACTCATCCAATATGTCAGTCAATGTCACCTACCCAAAATGCCACATGAAAAATTTCTTATTCTTACTTTTGTAGAAATATAAATAGGGTGAATGTATTTCCCTTTTTCTCTTTTTTTTTTTTTTTTGGTTTTTCTCCGGTACCGGGAACCGAACTCACGACCTTGCGCTTGCCAGGCAGGCGCTTTTTGCCGCTGAGCTAAATCCCCAGCCCCGTCCCTTTTTCTCTTGAGTACCAGAAAACTCACGCTAAATTCTGTACTCTGTTCAGTAAAGTCATTCCACATTCCCAGTACCGTTATCTCATTCCTTCTAAACAATTTATCTTTTTTAGTTACACACTTATTTTTACTGTTCCATTTCAGGTCTTTTAATATTGTAAACAGCTTTGAATGTAGAAGGCATATAATTTATAAGTTAATTAATTGGCTCTCTTTGGCTTTTGTCTCTTCAAGATGAATGGTAGAAATGATTATACTGAGCAACAATTATATTCAGCAGATGAAGGACTCAAAGGATTGTGCCAACATACACTCTCTTTATATCATTATTTATTCAGACTACTTTCTCGTAAAAAATCCAGACAACAGGAAAAATATATAAAGTAGAAGATATAATTCCCCTTGTACTATAATACTGCACCCTTCCACACAATATAAATAAACCATTTTAAGCAAATTCCTTTGTGGTCTGACAATCTTATTTTCTGAACATATAAGCGCAAATGCATATTTCAAAAGAAGATTATACATTACATATCATTCTGCAACTTTCTGTTTATTCTACATTTCAGCATAGATATCTTTCCATGTCAATATCTGTGAATCTATGCCACATCCAGCAGCCACATATGACCCCACTATACAGATGTCACAACTTATTTTACCAGTTCTCTGCTGAATTTAAGCTCTTTTAGCCAACACGTAACATAATGTGGTGTTTCCATTGTGAATTCTTTGGGAAAGAAAAGTTAGAAGTCCCTTTCTAAAGACATAGCCATCTTACTAGTCTCTCACTTCTCATCATATTATTAACTACAGCTCAAGGCCCCTCAATAAAGAAAATTATAATACTAAGAAAATTGAGAGAAAAAAATTGGTAAGAAGTCAGTAAATGGTACTTCAAACCAAGGACGTACTGCAAAGACATCTTAAATAGACATTTTGTTTTTCCTTGAGTGATTCTAATACATGATGGCTTTTTATTTATTCACTTTTTGAGACAGGGTCTCACTACGTAGTGCAGACTAGCCTTGAATTCACTATGTAGCCCAGGCTGGCCTCAAACTCAAAGCAATCCTCCTGCCTCAGCCTCCCACGTGCTGAGATTACAGGTGTGCACCACCACGCCCGGCTAATACATGACACTTTAAAAATAACACCCAGATAGCTAGATCAAGGTACTTATCAGGGATCTTCTTTTACAATCAAGTCAACATGCAAGCTTTTCATAGCTATCTGCTGAGTAGGTTTCAGTTCCTCCGAAAACAAAGGCAGCTCTCCCATAGCAAATGAAAAGACAAAGGGCATTATGTGGCTTGCCAAGTCCTGAACCAAACCAAGAACTTTCTGGGCCAGCAGGGGGCGTACACAGAAGACACTCACCGAAGACTAGGAGATTTCTATAATCACCAGCTTGGCTCATGTTCCCCTAAAAAATGAACTCGTCTGACAAATGTTCATAGACAGAAATTTGTATATGTTTGGCGTCTCTACTGACCAATAAGTGGGGTTTTTTGGAGAGTAAAAATTAAACACAGGCAAACAACTGACTCGTATAGATTTACTTTATGTGACCACAAGCATTTTGCTAAATAGATTTTATCTTGGTGTGTGTGTCTGTGAGAAGGCAAAAGAAAGGATATCAGAAGCATTCCTTCATACCCATTTGACAAATAATCACTGCTAAGATGCTTCATTAATCTCAAACACTTTGAAGAACACAGGAAAAGGAAGCTACCAGTGACTCCAATACGGTTAAGGCATTAACCTTATGCTAGTTTCATAAACCCCTCAAGCTTCTCAGTTTGGAGAATTGACTCCTTAAGATATGACAGAAGCTGTGGTTATTCTCACTAGAAAAATACTCTATTTTGGACCCACTTGAGGAGTTTCATGCAGCGAATTGAATAAAATGGTATTTCTTTCAATAAAAGCAATTCATAGAATAATATACCCAAAAGGCATTTTGTGTTCATATCTTTGTGTTACTGTTCATATAAATGTATTCACAAAGCAAAAATAATCCTTTGTTAGATTTCATATTCTGCTTTTCAAATCAGAAAATAGGGTCACCTTAAGAAAAGACCTCAGAGAAACTCATTCAAAGACTGTTCCTCTACTGCCATCTTGTGGACTTTTCTTGGAAAAAAATAATAAAAGGCTACAAAGGGTTTTTTCTTTTAATTTTTAACACTCACATACCTCTCACCTGTGTTCACCAACTGCTAACATCTTGCTACACCCACTCTGTCTCTCTCGCTACACACCAACACCCACATTTCCCTTTTTGCAACCCACAAAAAAGTAATCTGCTTCCA